GTCATCACAACAATGAGCTTGGCCTGGGCTTTAATAGCAGTTCGGATAGCTGAAGATGCAAAACTCTCCAAGGGGCTCATTGGTAAAGGTGTAGCCCTAATCATCGCTTTGAAAATAGCTGCATAATCAAGGGAAGATTCTGCCTCGATACATATACAGGCCATGATCTTGACAGCAAGCTCAGGGTAAGCCCCAGCTGCACTCTCACCATTAAGCATAACACAGTCAATTCCATTAAGGACGGCATTAGCAACATAAGTGCTTCAGCACAGAGATTTAATCATGGATTCAAGCATCTGTATTGCAGTAGCTACTATAATCTATACTATATACTAAACTAATCACCGGAGGAGACACTTGGCATAATTTTGTGAAAAAAATTTCCCTCCAAAATGTTATTTTTTTTAAAAAAAAAATATTCTTTTAATAATATTTTTTTTAATTTTTTATTTTTTTTTATTTTATATATATATATATATATATATATATATATATATATAGAGTGTGGATTATGTGAAAACAAATCTTAGTGTGAAAACTGAAAACGGATGATTAGGACCGTCAGATTTGTATCGGATGGATTAGATGAAACTCGCGTTATAAGCCGTCAGATTTATCTCTCCTCCTTCTCTCTCCTCTCTCCTAATTTCTCGACATTTTTTCCCCCAATTTCCTGAAGATCTTGAACTCTCCGAATCCAGAAATCTCCGATCTTCCGCTGGTTTGATATCATCTTCATCTTCATCTTCTTACTCTATTAATTTTAAAATCAAAATTCGCTGTTTCAATTCTATTCTTGACTAGAATATAAATTTTGTTCGATTTTGTTTGATTTTGCGATTTCCTGTTTGATTTTGTTCAATTTCTCAATCAACAATCTATTATGTGAGCTATGATGTTATTTCTACGTTTTTAATTTATGTTTAATTTTGTGTTTTGTACTTTTCCTTCAGAAAATCAAAATGATTTTTCGATTTCAATTTTTTGACTTTCGATTTCAAATTTAGCTTCATAGGATTAGTTTTGAGCTGCATTTTGTGTAATTTTTCTTGATTTAGTAGATTAGGCTTTTATGTAATTACTCAACATCTCTCAAAATCTCAATTTTTCCCATCCGATTCTACAACTTTGAGCGTGTGAATTGATTTATTTTTTTTGTACTGATTTGATTTTGTGCTTGTATATTATAGGTTGCGAAAGATGTAAGAGTAGATGCATGTGATTGTAAAGGAAGAGATAGAGAAGAACGAAGAAAATGAGTGGTGGTAAGCTTATGATTGTTGATTAACCATACAAATTGTTTACTTTGTTGTTATGTTGTTATCTTTCTGTAACACTATGATGGTATGAAATCGATTTTGTACATTTTTTGGTTTGAGTTGTTATCTTGTTGCAGATTGAGCTTCAATGGAAGTTTAGTGTTCATGCATTATTTTTTTATAGTGTCCACAACCTGTTCGACGAAATGCCCAGTAGAAATATTTAATCTGTATTACTGTTTATTTCTTTAACTTGATTGTCCGATTTACGATGTGTTAATAATGTGTATTTGTGCATGCGACGACCTGAATATCTTAATCTGATCGAAATTGTTCCCTCTTCCTAAATTTATTGAGTTTGATGATAGATTTGAGTTATTTTTCACATTTTTTTTTGGATATTTGAGTTTCAATGGAGGTTTTGTGCTCTGCTCATTCAAAATTTTGATAGTTCACACCACCTGTTGGATGAAATACCTAGTAGAAATTTTCAAGTTGTTGTCTTTTCCCACTCTTTGATTGGTTTTGTTTTTATTCATCATAGGCACTCGATTTTTTCGGCTTAGTTTATCACTTTGTGTTCGATTTTCAATTTCATCATCAAATTTTCTGAACTTTGTGTTTTATTTGATTATTTTGATGATATTTTTCTAATGTTGCTGCATTTTATTGATGTATTTAGTCTGATTGTCATAAATGTGATTTCCTTGCTTTTGTATTGCCGTAGAAATTGTTTATATATACAACCTATAATTGAACAGTAAGCTGCTCGTTTGTGAATGGACTGTAAGCTGCTCGTTTGTGTATAGGTGTGTGATTGGGTGAAAGTTCTGCTTGTGATTGTGAGCATGTTGATTTCACTCCTGTGTGTTGTGATGTGTAGATATGTGATTTTGCCTATTTATGGGTTGTTATATGTTTTGTATAAGAAAGAATGTGATTGGTTAAGTTCTGCTTGTGATTGTGATTGTGATTGTGATTGTGATTGTGATTGTGATTGTGATTGTGATTGTGAACGATATTTTGTTTAATTCTGCAGTAGATTTGTACATTTTCATTTAAGATTTTATTATTCCACTTAAAGAGTCAGAGAGTTAAATGTTAGTACCAAGTGGTCAAATGTATTGTTATCCTACTATAGACTTTCTTTTGAGGTAATGGTACCAGAATCTAAGTGCACTCTGATACGGAGCTAGACATGTATTGTTTTGGGAATCATAGCCTCATAGGCTTATATCTGTTAAATGGTAGAAGCGTGTCTTTAGAAATTTATTTCTAGAATTCGAGTATGCTAGTTTGTGTTATTGCGAGCTCTATCATGCCTGATCTTACCTTGTCAGCTGGAGTTAGTGTAGTAACCTTCTTCAGCCTTTGTGAAGATTTATCTCTGATTGTATGATTTTTGGTGCCTGCCTGTTCAATATCATATACAGGTGGCTTGCTCGTATCATGATATCCTGGTATGCTTTTATTTGCCTCTACTTCTGTTCTTGAAACGTTGATCTTATCAAGCTTGTTTTGCTTCAGTCTGTATGATGTTGGTCTGTGATGTTGGTATGCTTTTATTGGCTGTTTTGGCATGTTGAAAACCTATTAGCTCAATTGGTCGAGCACCGTGTAATCACGGGATGTAGGTTCGAATCCTACATAGACTTTTTTAATACTTATTTTTATATTTATTGACCTCTGGGTAAATGGTGTCAAATTGATATAATTATCCGAAGTTAATATATAGTTACCTATTTTCGATATAATGACCTTAGAATTATGGAAATGTTGTAAATTTTGTTTCAGTCACCTTATTTTTATATATAGTGACCTTTATTTTTGTATATAGTGACCTTTATGTAAATGGTGTCAAAAACTCAGTCGATATAGTTACTTTATTTTTGTATATAGTGACCTTAATGTAAATGTTGTAAAAATTGTTATAGTTACCCTATTTTTGTATATAGTGACCTCTATGTAAGTTTGGTCAAAATTGAAATAGTTACCCTATTTTTGTATATAGTGACCTTAATGTAAATATTGTAAAAATTGATATAGCTACCCTATTTTTGTATATAGTTACGTTATTTTTATATATAGTGACTCTATGTAAACATCGTCAATTTAGATAAAGTTACCTTATTTTAGCATGTAGTGACTTTTAAAATGTTGCCTTTGTAAAAAAAAAAAAAAAAAAAAAAAAAAAAACCCTTTAAAACGGTTGAATTGATTATATGTAAGGTTGGAATGATCTTAGGACTTTAGAATTGTCTGATCTTTTGTGCTACTAATGAATGGCTAAGATTGCTTGTTTTTAGTTTTTTCCATAAGCTCTGTTTTTAGCGGAACCTCCCCGTATATATATATATATATATATATATATATATATATATATATATATATATATATATATATATATATATATATATTTGTAAAGCATAGGAATTTAAAGGATAGACATTAATAAATTTAAATTTTAAAAAAAAAATGTTAAATAAGTCATTTAATTTCAATTAACTCTATTTCAATTGACTATTATTATTAATAATAAATCGTACTATATAAATCTGTGTTGCACGAGGCCAAAACTAGTTGGTCATAAATTTAGAAGCCTTCTAAATCAAATTGTTACATTGTATTAATAATTTTAGACAAATAACAATCAAGTAGACTTATCTTGAAACAAAAACAATGTGCTTGTCTACTACATACCAAAATTTGGACCCAACCCAATAAACAAAAGTCTGGCCACAAGCCATCAATGGTTTTAAATATAAACGTGTTACATTATCTAAACTATACATTAAAAAGTGCTTCTAAATATGTTTATGTGCCACATGTAATCGTTTTTTACACTAGAATCATGCCACACAACCATTCACCAATCAATTTTAATTCCATGTCATTATTAAATAAAAATGTGTATACAAACAAGTTTGAACACCAAACCGCGTAAATAAAAACCATACCTATTACCATCTTAACTAGATATAGATTTTGTACTATTAAAATCTGAAACTTCAATGAGTGTAAAGAGTGAAGATAATTCCATCTTAGCTGAAACTTCAATGAGTGTAAACAGTGAAGATTATTGGATCAAAACAATAATTAGAATCAACTCAATACTCAATCTTCACTAGTATATAGCCAAAACAATAAAAGCGGACGTTTCACACGATTTGGCTGGAATTACTCTATTACATATTCAATGAAATTATAGATGTCGTATGATTGTTTACTAATGATACTCCCTCCGTACGTGTATTAATAAGTGTTACAGTTTGAACAAACACGCTTGACAAGACATGACCATTAATTTATCTACTTATATGTTAGTAAAATCCTATGACATTTTATAATATGAAAGTATACATTGTATCAAATCAGTCAATGTATTATGCAATAACATTTGTTTTTTTATATATACCGCTAAATTAAGCAAGTCAAAACCATTATGTGAATAGTGAAAAAGTCAAACTATAACACTTATTAAAACACGGAGGGATAATTATTTCTTCCTTCTTCTAATTTTTACAAAAAAAACCCCTATGATAAAAGAATTATTATTATTATTTTTTTTAATAAAACTGCCTTTGCCTTAAAAAAGAAAAAATAAACAAAATTATAAGTTATAACTTGTAAATGTTTGTATTAATAAATGAATTGTCATTACAAATTGAATTGAAAATAAGTGACTTACCGTAAAAGTGAATGTAGAAATCACAATTTGGAAATTTATACATTAACATATTAAATAAAATTTAAATTCTGCATACATAGCATGTAACCCTATAATTCTATAAATATGGATCAATGATGAAAATCACTATGATCCACAAGTTTATATTAATTAATTTCATATAGAAAGTAGGAGTTAAATTAAATTAAATTTAAATTCCGCATACCTGGATATAATAAATAATACAAGATCCAAATAATAATGTGTCCATCACAATAAATTTGAATCTAGCAATCAAAGTTGGTTGAATTGTAGGGTTTTCTTAGCTTGAGAAACAAGAAGAGCTGACAAGAGTTCATTCCAAGTATCAGGGACACCAGGAAGACACCAATGAGAACAATCATTGCCATCCAAACCATATATTGAAGGATGTCCATCTTTTCTTAGTTGTGACATTGTTGTTACGTCTAGTAACGTAACCTTTGTTGACATGTTACTCAATATTTGCTTTACTACTCCGTCGGCTGGTGGTAAGCCTGCTGGATATGTTGATCCTGGTATCGGTTTTGTTTCTCCTTTACAATCTCCGGTACTCGCGTTCCACTCTTGAGACCTAGTACAACATATATTTGAAAAGAATCAACTAAGAGTGTTATTAACAATTCTGAGGGTTAAAATTGTGTATTAGCAAATTATTAAATCAAATTTGTTAAAAAAAAAAGGGTCAGATATTATGAAACAGAAACAGAGATTGTATTAGACGTAAATGAGCATGTGATACTAACCTGTAGTGAGTGGGGGAGATGCCTTGGAAGAAAACTTGAATGTTGTTGTTGTTAGCATATTTGTCAACCCACTTAGACCAAGTTGTCAATCCATATTTATAAGCAGTCAAACGGTCCATGTCCTTGTAAATCTTTTTGCCCTTTTGGATGTAATCCCATCTGATTTTATGTTGAAATTAAGAATCAGATAATGGCTGATAAGAGTTAATTTAACATTAATCATAATCTAGTTAGTGTTTATATCTATAAATTTTAATCCTTTTAAATAGAAACATAGGTGTTTAAAAGGATTAAAGCGATATATATTTTCTTACTATTTCATACCGAGTAATCAATTGCGTATAACATAAGAATGATAAATATAATTGCTCATTTATATAGTTGATTTTTTATTTATTTATTTTTTTTTACAAAAAATAACTTCCTTAAATAAATATAGTAATTAATTATTAAAAAATAATAATATACTAAGGACACACTAGAAATTGACATGTGTCATTACTGATGAAACTTTTAGTATATAGTTATTGATTGATTGATTGATGATTATGCAAAAAGTTTCCACCATGATTTCACCTTCTATTTTCTCTCTTTTACTTACTCCATCTATTTCAAAATAAATGTTTCATTTTAAATTTTTATTAGAAAAACTATTCATATACACTATGTTGACCAATGTTGATATAAACTTAATAGTTAAACGGTAATGCTAAATATATTGATGTATCTAGGTACATGTTAAAATCATACTCTCAATTGAGTTTGATAGAGTATAAAACATAATTCCTAAGCTTCAACCATCAACTTAAACTTTTGGTTGAGTTGATCTTTAAACAGAGTTAATGTATAATATCTATCAACTATTTATCATTTCTACATACCAGTAATTAGAAATATTATTAGGATATATGTGATAATCAAATTAGGATATTTAGTTTAAAATAAAGGGAGTATAATTTTTCAATCATTTGTATGCTTTAGATGAAAAGTAAAGTGTAATTATTAATTCAAAACTATAAAGGGAGTAGTGTCAAAGAGATGTATTGTATGTTACCCTTGACTTTTGCTTCCTTTATGGACCCACCAATGCCAACTGTTGAAGATGAGAACATCCATCCCTTTCCAAGCATTGCCATTGTTTATAGAATCAAGCTTTAGCACCTTCCCAATCTTTTCACTTACAATATCAACCAAATATGGAGTTCGATATAACATCACCGAAATGTTGTACTCCTATATATGTTAGACACAAAAGACATATAATCATCATTTTTATACTTTCTTCCTCAAAATAATAATACCATAAATCGACAATTTAAGGACATTCCAATCAAAACATGTCACATATTTTCTTATACAAGTAGTAAAAGCAACTTTAGATGTGATGGGCAACAAACATTTTTGTTATAATTTTTCAAAAAAACGTGATAGGTTAGGACAATATCATAATTTATAATTAGTTAATTACTTACTTTTAAAGCATATATACTTTGTTCCATAAATTTATTGTAACTAAACAAAAAAATGTGCGCCCTTCAAGATTTTTTCCCTTTATTTTTGGATAGATAGAAGAAAAGTTTTTTTTTTTTTTTAATAGATTTGAGCATTATTTAATAAATAAAGTAAACTTATATGGCGTGGTCGAAAAGATTAAAAGAAAAACACACTAGTAGAATACAGAAACCTAATCTAAAGAATGGATTTAAACGGTTATCGAAACACATTTAAAAATCAGAGGGACATAAAACGTACATGATAACATATTATTCCGTATAAATCAAGCATTTATACGTAGTATAATATAATGGGATAATAAGTAATAATAAGCATGTACAATTATGGTATGTGTAGAGAGGGCGCCTTTTACTGTAAGCTTGTGATTACAATGAGGCAGGGAAGCTTGCAACATGCATGTAAATGATTGCCATTGATCAAGACTTAAGGAATCTCCCACGAACATTATCTTCTTTCCCGTGAACCTTGTCACAAAATCTTGACCATCGAATCTATATGATAAATAGTATATAATATATTAAGAAAATATAAAAATTAACAAAACATGCATGCAAATTCTTCCATTGGAAATGTATATGCACAAAAATTCTTACACAATTTCTTACATAAAGCCAAATAGGCAAGTATCACTGCTTTAGATGGACGTAAATATGCCACTTAAGGTGATCTCATTGATAGAATATAAAACATAATTATAGAGCTCAACCATCAACTTAAACTTTTGGTGAGTTGGTCCTCTAATATTCATCATATACCCGAGTGGCTCATTATACAGTAAACGACGTGGTTAAGGAGTTACCTTGGTAAATCGCAATCACTAGGCTTCCACCTATATTTGAGGTAGAGTTGATCCGGGCGCCCATTGCTTAAGCAATCAAACTCTTTGATGATAGATGAACAAGTAGAGGAGTCATAATATGGAGTATAAGCATCGTCATACACCCAACTACCTTGGAAAAGATTACAACCAGAAGATTTATTCGATTTCGAAACCTCTATTGTTGTTGAATAATCCTCAACATTAGCTATACATTGATGCAAAAGTAAAACAAATATGGCTAAAGCAAATTTGCACTCCATTGCATCAAAGTATGAGGAAAAGAGAGAATGTGTTTAGGTGAGTAAGAGCTAGAAAGAAAAAAATGTGAGCTTTTATAATATGATATGGTTAGTTAGCTTAGATTTTCGTTCACTATTTGTATTTTCATGATTAACTGTGGGCTCTATGATTGATAATGATATATAGATATACTAAGCTTTTTGATTAATTTATTCAATGTTACATATTATAGATTATTGTTATGTATAGCTAGCTTGTTCTTGAACCATAAGACACTTTTAAAATAAGTGAAGGTTACAAAGTAAGCAATGCAAAAACATGTCCGTCAATTCTGTACCTTATTATCTTTTGTCAAAATCTTGGATGAATAATTTAGGCTATGTTTTGCAACACTAAGGGGGTGTTTGGTACAATAATTTTAGATGTACGAAACGGATTCAATTAAGTGTTTTCATTTCTAGTTGTTTGGTATGAGTTAAAAGTAACATATACCGTTTCCGGAGGGTAATAAAATTCCCCAAGTTGTTACCCTTGACAAACTAGTGGAAACAAAATACTATACGTTTCCTTACTCAATTGCAATCTCCTCAATTGTTTCCATTCTTGTAGGATACCAAACATATAGTAAAGGTAACGTTTATCATTACCATTTGCCTTAATTATTTGAATTCTTTCCGTTTCATTTACAATGTTTATACCAAACACCCCCTAACTTAAATGAAACTGAAACTTAGAAAGATAAGATACTGAAACTAATAATAAGGAGGTAGAGTAACATTTAAATTAGGTAATGGTTATTGTTTAAGAAATTTTGTCAACAACTACCAATTAAAGCACGTGTTTTGGAAATAACTATCTATTAATTTTTTTTAAAAAAACTACTACAAAGTTGTAAAAAAATTTAACTACCAGTACCACTATAACAATTTCGGCTAGAATATACGGCATGTAAGTTCCATTTTTTACCTTTACCTCATAAAACCACCATCTAAATTGGCTAAATTACCCTTCATAAAGGTAAAAAGTTATAAAAAGTGAGACCCAAATGCCGGAGATTCTAGCCGAAATTGTTAGAGTGGTAGTGCTAGTTAAAGTTTTTAAAAGTTTGTGGTAGTTCTTTTTTTAAAAAAATTCAATAGGTGGTTATTTTCAAAACACGTGCTTTAATTGGTAGTTGTTGACAAAATTTTCTATTGATTAATAAAGAGCTGAAATATTTTGAATATGTTTTTTAATAATTGAAATAAAAGTTAATTTCAGACACTTAAAAAATTTCCGACCAAACCTAGTGATGAATAAACCTTTCACCGCCATTTGATTCGAGTTTTGTATTGGATCGAAGGAACACTTGAGTCTTGCTTAGAAACCCAATCTAATACCATTTTCTGTCATTTCAAGCCATTTTAGCCTTTTCAATAGCCCAAGCACTTTTCCTAATCCAAAATTCATAAACTACTTTAGCCCAATTTCCTCTTTTAACAACGGCAACCTAAAATCGAGCTTAATTTGACTTTTGTGCTTTATAATTTTTATGCAAATTTTACATGGTTGGATAGCACTTCTAATAATCTTTCCAATGACATATGATCATAATCCCAATTGAGATTTATAACGATGGAGATATGAACAAAATGTTTTGCATACTCAGTCCAAAGCCGACACCCCTTACACTTTTTTGACATATCCATAAATATAGAAATAATCGATGTTGACTTGATTCTAGTTTGGTTAGTGTAGGGAATAAATTTCAAGCGTTAACCCCTAGCTCGAACCCCACTGTGATCATACACTAAAGTACGGTGGCTCCAAAAGGGAAGAAGATAGAGCAAAAGAGTCGCCAACAAGTTTTTTTTAGGAACTTGTAAACCGTTCATAGGATGAAGGTTACACCCCTTAACGATCCAAGAGATCACCAACTCCATAAGGTCTAGAACCAAATAAGGGTTCGGGGATGAAGGTACAAATCCAACCTAAAAGAGATTGAACCTGCCCTAATAATAGGCCTCTACTTTATTCTGATCGTATTCATGTGCGCTTTCTGACTAACATGCAATCAATAGGATTAACCCTAAACCTAATTATCTATGTTGGTTGAATATTAATGCACAAATAAATCTATTATTGGTGATCACTTGAAATTATAATCACAATTAACCCTAAACAAGATTATTAATTATCTTATTAAGCATGATTACAAGTACCAATTCCCTTTAAACAGGCAATGAAGGTGATCAAGCAATAAAGAATAAATAATGTATCAAGCAACATAATCATAATAATAATAATAATAATCATAAATAATATCATCATAATAATAATAGTAATCATGAATAAAAATAATCATCATCAAAATAATAATAATAACCATAAATTATAACAATTATAATCATAATCATGTTCATGTTAATATTAAAGCATAATAATAATAGCAAGATCCTAGGCATGATACTAACAAGATTAATAACAAACCCTAGCATGTCACTAAGCAATAAAAATCAAATCTTTAGCCCTAACATGATACTAACAATCATAAATATTAGGAAGAACATAGGAAGCATCATAACAATCATATTTAATATTAAAATTACCCTAGACATGATACTAGGAATCATAATAACAATCTAAACACGATTTCTACATCATAATATCAATTAAAACCATTAAAGCACTTACTTTGATGCCTCGTACCTCTTTCTAATAACAAAATACACACGTTAGTAACTTCAAGGAAAATAATAATCAAGACAATTAAATTAAATAATTGAAATAGAGATTTGGGACCAAACCCTCAGAAATTAAACCTTTCACGTCTAGGGCGAAGACAACTTCGAATATGGCTAGGTGTTTCTAGATCTTGTGAATACGGAATTTTGTATGTAGAAACAAAGTTTGGAAGAAAGAAAGAACGAGATGAATGAAAGAGATGAATGAAAAAGAATAATCAAGAAAATCTTGATGAGAGTTGGTGAGAATTGGTGAATGATGGATGTAGATGATCAATGAAAACGGAGTTTTTAATACGTTATTTATAGAGAAAATCAGCCGAAAAGATAAAATAAACAAAACAGAGTCTGACGCACAGAAAACAGAGCTGGCGCCACCCTTGGCTAACTGGCGCCAGACACCAACACTAGCGCCAGGCGTCAATGGCTAGCGCCAGGCCTGGTTCCAGGCGACAAGGCATGGTTTTAACGCGTTTTCAAAAATCAGATAAATTTGTCGTACTGAAGGATAAAATTATATAATTTCCTCGAAAATGCTATTTGATTTTAATTAAAACTCTGAAAAGTCAAAAGTCAATTTATCAATGCCAATTGAATTATGAATGAAAAGAACCTTCTAGAAGATTCTAGAAGACTAAAACCATTCCTAATTGCATTAGGAGTGATAAATCATATTAGGCCCTCCCTAAGATCATTGGGCCGCATATAAGGCTCAAACCGGGCCCAGTTTAGTAAATTGACCATAATTTCCTCAATATTCATCGGAATTGGGATTATAATATATCGTTGCAAAGCTCTTTGCAAGCCCCATACAACTACACTATTATTGGACCCATATCATGGACCAACCAAACTGGATTGACTGTTTTCTTAAAATAAGTTTTCAAAAACAGAGAGAAGAGAAAAAAATTAAAACTATCCGCAACACTAAAATTTCCACACTTTCACTTCATTCGATTATGATTCGACGTGAAAGGTAATCATCACTGGGTTTGGTTTTGGGGAGACACAAATGGGTGTCTACAGTTAGGAAGTAGAATTCTAGATTTTTCTAATGGTAAATTATTTCCCTAAATTTAAATTTGGGACCAAAAGTTATGATAGAAGCAAAAATTTCTAAATCGACAATACAGGTCAACATGCCAAATTTGGCTTGGCGGGCCGCACAGAAACATGTCGTGCTGCACAAGCAATGTGTTACACTAATTTTGTTGTGATCAGCATTTTCTATTGTGTCGCGATGCATCGCGTCGTGCCACGCCCCCATAACATTGTGGCGTGACCCACAATTCCTGCTGGCGCCGCAACACGACATTGTGTATCGTGTCTCATTGCCAGTGCATATGGTGGGCTACTTTTCTCTTCTAAAATTTCGGCGGCTTCCTATTCCCTCACAATTAATTAAGTATTGACGTGGATGTATACTAAACAAGAAGCTCCGAGTACAAATCATGTCCTGAAAGGTTTAAAATTCTTAGGATTTAAACCTCAAATCTAATTATTTGCAATTAGTTTACTTTGATTTATTAATTTTATTAACGTTTTGTGCATGATGTAGTTTGAAGGTTTCTCAATCTCTGTAAAGTACTCTTAATAAAAAATCTTAGGGTTTATTCAATTTTTATCTTGATTATTCCTTGTTAGCATCATGTTTAGGGATTATTCAATTATTAGTATTATGATTAGGAGTTTTATTAATCATGTTAGTATCAATGGTTAGGTTTGTACTAATAATTCCTTAGCATCATGCTTAGTCTCGTTTAGGCTATGTGGTGGGAAACCTATGTTTATGCATGTTTATTTATCTGTTATTATGATCATGGATTGCATGATGTTTTAATCAAGACTTGTAATTAAAAATAATGACTAATAAGAAAATTTGGACAATCGGTTAAGGTTCAGTTTTATCTTGTTGTTTTATTCAAGTGATGATCATCACAATAATTAATTAGTTTGTGTGTGCATTAAATTAAACCAACTTAGCATAACTAGTTTGGAGCAAATTGAATAATTATTTGTATATTTATAGGTTTCAGTTAACATGTCGTTATAAAAATCGAGTAGAGGTCAATAATGTCGTAATTGACTTCCCGACTCAATTTTTTACCTTAATGACCAATTATCTAGTTGTGGTTAGGATAATTATGTAGTTAGTAATCTTATGAATTATCAATAGAGTGTAACCTTTATGGATCGAATCAGTTTTGCTTTTTAGTTTGTCCCTTTTTATGGTTACCTTAAGTGATATATGAACAATTTACAAGTTTCATAAAATACTTATTAACGGCTCTCTACTTTTTCGTCCCTAATCATTATAATGTCAAATTCAACTTTCGATGATTTCCAATCATATTCACACATGCTAAGGTAGACAAACTTCAAATGATGC